ATAGTGGGTCATAGTGATAAGAAACTTGTTTTAACAAGTTTACAATAAAAGGAAAAATTGCATATTCAAACTTGCTCGCCTATACAGTATATATCAATGACAAAATTTATGATTTTGATTGGCTGAACTAAAATTTTTACAAAATGACGTAATTCGTAACTATATCGCACGTGATTCAATAAAATCTTATTGGTTGATGTAGATCAATTTAATTCCAGTCGGAATTAAAGTATATGTATTAACTCCGGCCAGAATTAATATTCCTAACCCCGATCAGAATTAATCTTCAGAACTAGAAGAATAGTTCAACATTTTGGTAGGTATATAAGATGAACTCATGAGAGCAAAACACAAGAAACTTTTAATGAAATAATCACGTGAGTATTTAAATTAATACCACTGAGTAGATTTATTTATAAGATATTTGATGTAATTAGAACAGATATAACATCCTAGGGATAAATCGCTACTTTAGATGCAACATATACATTTGGCACCTTTAAAAGTGTAATTCTTTATCGGCGCGTTTTTATTTGAATAAGCGTCACGTCACGACATAAAAAAAAACTAGAGATAAATTACATATGTTTTCCTTCATCCATTTAATTGAATTATACTATAATATCAGATATATCACATGAAACGATTGATCTACAGCACATGATCTGATATAAATTTCATGTAAAATGGATCGACATTGTTTACATTTAATAGATTTGCAAAAATTTTTAAGTCATTTGCAAACAAACATAAAGAACCCAATAGAATTGAAGAAATATTCTTATATATTTTCTTACTATTTTGTCAAGAGACCCTCGCGGAAAAATCCGAGACACTTATTTGGGAAGATAAGTCAATTGTACACCAAGAATACTATAACGGAATTAAAAAAAAAAATAGGTATTATTGAAGAAATTTATCAAATTCATGTAAATTCATGTAATTACAATTTTTTTTGCATATAGACAGTCAAAAAACATGGGGCAAACTTAGCAAGAAAGACCTAGAAAATGTATTAAACTTGTATAAGGTAGATGTACTGATAATTATACCATTATGCGATGTTTTGAGCGCTATGATTGAAACACGATATATGAATCTTCCGAGTAATTTACTCAATTATAAATTTTCTAAGTTATCTTAATTGTAGCATGTCGTATGTGAGTTATTACTTCGTGCACTTGGATTACATTTATAATTTTTGGAAGATACCAAATAATCTTTCCTAGATGATGCATGCTGTATGAATCTTCCAAGTAATTTACTCGATTACTCAATTATAAATTTTCTAAGTTAGCATGTCGTATGTGAGTTTGTACTTCGTGCACTTGGATTACGTATATAATTTTTGGAATATACCAAGTAATCTTCCCTAGATTATGCATGCTGTATGTGAAATATTACATCATGCACTTGGATTAAATTAATTATTAGATTATTCGCATTTGTTTGGATATTTCAGAGCGTATTAGTGAAAACTATTATCGTCTACATTACATTTTGCAATATATTGATTAATTTAAGTCAATTATTTACATGTAATAGACAGTACATACCAAAGGATATTATCCAATTCTCGATTTTTGGACTGGTGTTGCAGAAATACATTATAACGGTAATATATTTTTATATTTTTTATACCAAATTAATTATTAATTAGATTATTTTTTCATTTACTTTAGGACCTAAAAATAATGATCAATCTCTTATTAAAAATGTTCAAGTTTTGATTAATTCGTGTGAAGACCTAAACAATTTGAAAAGTGTTGTGAAATATGTCTCAAACCTTTCAGAACAACAAATTAAGAAAATCATTTTGAAGAATGAAATAAGTAGAAAATTTAATATTATAAATAATTATTCAAAGATTAAGGTAAGCTATTTTAACGATGATAGAATTCTGTAAACTAAAATGAACGACGTTTAATCATTATTAATTTATGCTAGTCACAAAGTGGTCTTCCTTTATGGTTTTCTAAAGGGTTAGAGAAGCTAAAAGATTATGAAGATGAATTGATTAATGTCTCCATTATGAATCCCATTTTTTGTAACATTATAGATATAAGTAAATTTGGAATCAAATTTTTGATATAAATCAAATTAAACTACTTTCTCCGGATAAAATTTTTGAATTTTCTTCTAAAGAATACGATAATATTTATCTCGGAGTAACAAATGCACTATCTAAATTTAAGATGAATTCTAAAAGTATTCCACTCATTGAAATTAATAAATTTCAAGAGAAAGAATGCAGATTGTATTGTGATATCTTAAAACTTTGGTAAGAATATAATTGTGTTTATGTTGCATAAATTTACCGAAGATATGTTAATATTCTTTTCAGGTTTAGAGAGTGGGTTAATCCGACGCCTGTAATGTCTGAATCGTATTATGTGGGGATTTATATTTATCAACCACTTCAAATAATTTTACATGATTTACTATATTCACGATTTCATCTCTTTGGGTAACTATAATTTTTAAAAAATTAAGAGTTGAGGACCAATTGCTTGTTAAATCATTTATTTTATTTATTACAGTCCTGAACATGAAACTAAATGTTCTTTTGAAAGAAGAAGTTGGCATCACTACTGGCCTGCATGGGCTTATCTACAACTAGAAAAATTCAGAAATTTCCAAAATACTCAACGACTTATCAGACAATCTGCTGCTGATGAAACTCACCGTCCACCTATAGCTATTGAAATTATTGAACGCAGTACCTATACTGACGGTTGGCGCTACAACGAGACAAAAACATCACCCATACCATGTTCATTTGTACAGGCGATGGTTACTTTCAAAAAAAAAATATGTATCTAAACACAATGATCCACGAACTTGGCCTCCCAACAATATTCATCACATTAACAATGGCCGAAGGTTCGTGGACTCACCTTCACAACATACTCACTAACACGGATAATAATGACCCGTTGCCAACCAACAGACCATTACATGCAACATTACACTTCGTCCACAGACTACAAAACATCAAAAAATACGTTTGGAAAGATCCAAACATTAGTAAATGGGGAACCTACTCACACTTTTTTGACCGAATAGAATTTCAAAACCGTGGAGCGGCGCATCTACATGGTGTTTACTGGACAACATCAAACATATTAGAAATGATTAATTTGAATATCATTCGATCAACCCTTCCCGACCCTAACCTAGAACCAGAACTTTACCAAAAAGTCCGTAACTTTCAAACACATACATGCAATTTTAAATGCGAAGGTCCAGCCCCACCAGGATCAACATGCAAAAAAGGATTTCCCCGTCCCATCTCTGAATACACATTCTACGACCCAAATAACTACAGATATACTTACAGATGCCTAAAACCAGAAGATCAATGGATAGTTCCATATCACGCTCCTACATTAATGATATGGAATGCTCATATGAATATCCAATATGTAACTAATAAAGGACTTGCCAGATACATAACAAAATATATAAGCAAGTCAGAACCTACACACTTATTCAACATCCGTGAACAAATACACTACTGTGAATACATTCATGCTCGACGAATGGGTTCAATGGAAATAATGTTTCTACTGCTTGGCGAACGTATAGTAAACTCATCAATCCAAGTCCAGTATCTAACTACAGATCCTCCATCCACACGATCAAAAGCAATTATTTCGCTATATATACTAGACTCACTTGAAGATGATCCCTATTGGAACGATAAAATCAAAAAATACTTCGCACGACCACCCAACCCTATATTTGACAACATAACATATAAAACCTATTTTGAAACTTATGAATTAAAATCAACTCATCCAAACACATCTAACAGAACAGTA